ATTAGCATTTTATATCAAAATAAACATGCACAAATACTGCTAAACACACACACAAACAAATTGGAGCAGAATATTTGTATTGAATCTTTACAAAGAGCAAAAAAAAAAAAAAAATAGAATCCAACTCCTGGCTGTATTTAGGGCCTAAAAAACACAGTCATAGACAATGTCAAAACAGTCTAGAAAAAAAAAAAAAATGCATATATGTACATTGCTTCCAAGCATCAAGAAGTTGTGTCTCAGAAGGAATTAACAGAAAAGCAGACCCTAAATTGGAGAGTAATAAAAATATAGTCTATACATAGAAACAGATAATGAAAACATTAAAAAAAAAAAACTGCAACAAGCAAAAAAACACATCATCAGGAATATGTATGGAATGTTTTTGTGAGATTTGTTATAGGTTCCTAAGAAAGAAATAGCAACACTGTGCAAGCATGCAATGGTAAAAACAAAGGTTTAACTTAAACCACAAAAAGCCTATACTATTCATATGGCATAGTATGCAGTGAAGCCAAAATGATGTCAGATTTCTTATTACCATAGGTTTGTACACCCCAAATCCCCAAACACACGTGTGTGTATATATATATATATATATATATATATATATATATATATTACACTCTTAAACATAAATGTAAACAAACATTTAAACATTTAATAAAACATGGACATGTCAATAGGACAGTGGATGATGTCAGTAGAGCAGTGGATGGTGTACATAGAGCAGGGGTTGGTGCCAGTTTTGGCAGAGGTTGGTGTCAGTAGGACGATGGATGGCATATCAGTAGGACAGTGGATGGTGTCAGTCAGTAGAGCAATGGATGATGTCAGCAGGGCAGAGGACAGTGTCATTAGAGATTGGTGTCAGTAGAGCAGAGATTGGACAGACATACGCTATATTGCCAAAAGTATTGGGTCACCAGCCTTTAACACACATTAACTTTCATGGCATCCCAGTCTTGGTCTGTAGGGTTTAATATTGAGTTGGCCCATCCTTTGCAGCTATACCAGCTTCAACTCTTCTGGGAAGGCTGTCCACAAGGTTTAGGAATGTGTCTATGGGAATGTTTGACCATTCTTCCAGAAGCGCATTTATGAGGTCAGGCACTGATGTCAGACAAGAAGGCCTGGCTTGCAGTCTCTGCTCTAATTCATCCCAAAGGTGCTCTATCAGGTGAGGTCAGGTGCAGGCCAGTCAAGTTCCTTCACCCAAAACTCACCCATCCATGTCTTTATGGACCTTGCTTTGTGCACTGGTGCGCAGTCATGTTGGAACAGGAAGGGGCCATCCCCAAACTGTTCCCACAAAGTTGGGAGCATTAAATTGTCCAAAATGTCTTAGTATGCAGACGCCTTAAGAGTTCCCTTTACTGGAATTAAGGGGCCAAGCCCAACCACTTTAAAACAACCCCACACCATAATCCCCCCTCCACCAAACTTTACAATTGGCTCAATGCAGTCAGGCAAGCACCCTTCTCCTGACAACTGCCAAACCCATACACACCCATCAGAATTCCAGAGAGAGAGGTATGATTCACCACTCCAGAGAACATGTTTCCACTGCTCTAGAGTCCAGTGGCAGCGTGCTTTACACCACTGCATCCAACATTTTGCATTGCACTTGGTGATGTGAGGCTTGGATGCTGCTTCTCGGTCTCTCTCTCTCTCTCTCTCCCCTCTCTCTTCCCCCCTCTCTCCCCCCCCTCTCCCCCCTTTCCCTTTTTTTTATTCTAAAAAACACCCCGTGATAGTTGTAGCGTATCTATTGTAATCTGGCATATGCTTTATATGTAATCTTTTTTGTTATTTAGTTATTCAATTTACTCACTGTAGCCTCTGTCACATACAAGTTTCCATCTTCACTGTGGGCATCTGAAGCCCTCTTGGAGTTTATTTTGGGATATGGTGCTGCTGGCTACCCAGCATGCACATCCAGAATTTGCGCCTGCGCATTGTGTACAAAGCGTGGTGCACCCCGTTATATTGTAGGTTGCCATAGCAATGGTGGCATCTGAGGAAGTTCCTGCCCCATTGTTATGGCAACCTGTCAATCAATTTGCCCATTGACTCCTGGGATTGATGACACTTACATCCCAGGAGCCAACAGGCTGCAGGATATGATGTACCTCGCCTTAGCGGTGGTACACTGGAAGTGGAGATCTATATTTAGCCTACAGGTAATATACTTTGAAAAAAAAAAACATTCCAATCATTAAGGCTTGGTTCACATATGTGCTGGGTGGTGCTGCTGCGGATCCGCACAAATATCTGTGCAGCAACACCACCCGCACAGAAGAATGCGGACCCGCGGGCAGGTGCCATTAATTCTAATGGCACGCTGCCTGCACTGGGAACCGAGGTTCCCGCGTGGGCTGTGGTTTCCAAAGAAGTGCAGGGACTTCTTCCCTGCGTGTCACGGGGCACGGGAGTCCATTCAAATGAATGTGCTCTCTTGCCCACGCAAAACGCGGCCTGCGCGGCTGCATATACGTGAACCAGGGGTTATTGTATTTCGGACAGCAATGAGGGGGGCCGAAGTTCAAAAATAAGGTAGAACTCTGCTTTAAGCTTTGACAATAAAGCCTGGAAGCTGATTAGTCTCTATGCAGAGCTGCACAAATTTTGTACTCTCCAATTATAGTAAATCAAGCCCATAGCATACTACCAGTATATCGTACCATATAACCCTACTATATGGAGGAATAATTTGGTTTGTAATTGATTGAACTGATTATATGCATTGTAGGTAATTGCACACATACAGTAGTTAAATCGGTATTAAGCCCCAAACCAAAAATGTAAATATATTTTAAGATACAGCTAAAGTCCTATAGTGGACAAACTTCAAGCAGTATCAAATCCACAAGCAAACGTTTCTTATATTGCAGCCTACCAATCCTTAGATGTGGTGGCTGCATTAGTTTTATTTTTTTAGGCTTTTTCCATATGTTTTCATCTGGCCAGTAACACTTCTCCTGAGTTAGAGTGCCCCCACTCTGGATGAAGGAGCACAGGGGATACATTTGGACATTTGGGAGGGGAGTGTTAGATGTATAGTACATAGCTCCCAACTGTCCCTGATTTTGAGGGACTGTCCCTCATTGGGACCAAAGTCCCTCTTTCCTCCTCATTTGTCCCTCATTTTGGTCTGTTCTCTATAGTTGTATATAATATGCACTACTTAGCTATGAAAAAGTGTTTCACAGTGCTAAACCTTTCATCCAATTTCTAAATTGTTGCATTTGTAAACTTCAAAAGCCAATATAAAGAAATAGTAGTAGTAAAAATGTACTTGTCAGTTTAACCTAACATTTTTTTGTACAAGTCTCCTTTAAGGGGGGTGTGACCTACTTTTGCTAGTAGGTGTCCCTCACTCCCATCTCAGAAAGTTGGGAGGTATGATAGCAGATTTAGTTACGCTAACAAACTGAAGCTGAACTCCTACTAAACCTTTATAAACAATTACAGCATGCAGTAATTTTTCCTTTCAAGATAAAGGATTTACATAATTAAAAGCTGACCATTAGAAGCACCTCTGTCAGTTTGTAAATAGTTTGTCTCAACTTTTAACTGCTACATCTGAAGAACAGCTTACTGGCCAGATCACTGTGTGAAAATAAAATAAAGAAAACTTAAAAAAAACGAATACAGCCTCCACATCTGAGAATTGGTAGGCTGCAATATAAGAAATGTTTGCTTTTGGATGTGATAACGCTTGAAGTTTGTCCACTATAGGGCTTTAGCTATGTCTTAAAAATAAATATATTTAAGTATAATTAGTATGAATTTTTTTTATACTTCTAACATAGTTGGCCAAGGCTGCATTCTTCTTCTAATATATGTAAAAGTGAATAAATACAAAATGTTTACACATAATTTGTTGTTTACAATAGGGAAATAATATTTTGGATATTAGTAGTGTTTATTATTTATTAAGCCTTTGAGTCCCTCTGATTTTGCAACTCTGAATATAAATTTGCAGAGAATTAGATAATTTGTAACAGACAATGGGATAAAGGATGTTTTGTTGTGGCCTGTGCAAACTTTGCACTTACTGTTAGTAAATAAGGTCCGAGGTCACTGTTATACCCCAGAGGCTTGTTAGTGTCATGCGAATTACCATGAACTGGATGGGTTCTCAATTGACAGTTGTATAAATATTTCCCTTCACTGAGCTCACAAAAGGCAAATGTCAGTTCACAACACTCTGGCAGGAGGTGACATTCAGAACAATTGTTACATTCCACTTGACACACCACCAACAGAGGAACAGAGAGGTGTCTTTTCTTGGATCATAATACCTGATGGACCGTGGTAGACCTACTTCCTCCACCTAGCAGACTTCAACACTAGCAGGCTGGTTCAGTAAGGAAAATTCCATTCTTGTGCACAATGGATGGAAATATGATTTTACACATGGAACATTTGCATTAGGATTGATGCAATCAATTCTCCATTACTTTTTTATAACATTATAATAATGAGTATGTTGGCGAGTATACACAGGCTTTTAAAAAATTATAATTCTTGAAAAAAAACTGCCTAAAAATGAATTACACCTTTGTAGTTTCGAAGACTTCAGACAAGTCCACAACTAAAACAAAGCAATGCTATTGGTAAAAGGAATGTATTTGTACTGTTTTTTTTCCACAACTGGCTAAAATGAGCCTCCCTATATATATAATATCCCTTGACCTGTGTGACGCCATTTTAGATCCTCCAAGCTGCACTGCTGCGAAAAGCAATTTAATTAGAACCTAAATTCTTCCAGGCTTAGCGGAGAGCTTTTTTAACCTCACAATAATTGTTATATTTTATATTGCTTTCCAACTGTAAATGCTTCCACAGACAACATAAGATCTATATGCATTAGGCTTAAATGGTATTATATTACTTTCCCTTAGAATGTAAAACTGATCTTATTATTTTGTTTGGAACAAATATAATCTCTTTTATTATCTGATATTATGTATCCTATTAAAATGGAAAAGTACCTTAAGGAGAATATTTTTTTCTACCTTTTTGTCCATCTGTGACCATGCCAGTAATGCCATCAAGATTATTTCTTAGATGAGTGCAAGCTTTTAGTTTAGCTTAGAATGTATAAATTGAATTAATGGCAATATGTTTTAATTAAGTGTTAAGGGGCATCTGAGTCAGCTATTTACCCACTTATGTATTTCTTTAGAGAACAATGTTACTATTCTCATCATTGCTCCACTATAAAACATTATGTTTTAAAAGACCAAATCACCACAGCAGTAAGTATGCTAATTGGTAATGACTGTACTCTAAAGAGGCATTAAATATATCTATTCTCCTGTGATATACTGCACAGTCTGCAAGAGGCATCGGCAATCGTGTATGCATAACGATGAATTTTTTTATACTTTAGGTCAGTTTCAAAATCTTGTAAAAGTTACATATTCATATTAGATAGAATTGCTGAAAGGGAAATATGTATATTCATGAAATAGAACTTGGACTCATAATTCAAAACATTGGTCACATTCTGTCTTTATTTCATAATCATAGATAGTGTTGTGCGGCTGTTGAGGCCCGCAACAATTTATCTAATTTTAGGGGAATACTCCCACCTCTTCTTTTTTAAAATAGGCTTTTATTTTTGCCAAGTTTTTGCAGTAAACAATAATACAAAACACGTGCTCACCCGATACACAAAAATTAATAAGGCGACGAGGGCTGCTCAGAGCCCATAGAAATCACAAAGAGCAATCACATGTGTAACAGAAAAAGAAAAAAGAGAAAAAAAAACACAATCACTACAACAACCTCGCATGCATTCATACACATCAAACACACGTCCCTCCCCTACTCCCCCCAGAGGACCCAAAACAGAACAGGAGAAACTGAACACACATTCAGAGGTATACAAAGAATTACTGAGATGATGGGAAGCCAGCAGCCTGAGACACCAAGGCATCCAGCCAGAGTTCCCAATTTTTGGGGAAAGGCCCTGCCCGTGTATATTAGTTTGTATTTTGGTAAATCAACATTGGATAAGTGACAAATGTACTGTACAGTGGGTGAAGTTGACTTTTTCCAATAAAGCAAGATAGCCTTGCAGGTGTAATAAAAGAGTAAGCAAAATGATGAACGGCTGTGCGTTGGAACCACAAAAGCATTGAGGATACCCAATAGGCAGACTTTCAGGATTTTAAGTGCAAGGCAGTGCAAGTGCAAGTTGAACTCCAGGAGGGTGTGGAAATTAGACCAAAATGAAAAGATGACTGGACAAGTCCAAAACATATGTAGAAGATTTGCTGCTATTTCACCACAGTGCAGACACAGAAAAAGAACAGCTGAATACTCCCACCCTTAATTATAGCGTTTGGCAGACTGAAGTCTAATCATAAAGTAAAATTTTCCGATTGAGAATCTTTGTATTTTATAGTGGTATAACAATGCTAGATTTTACCAGGAGGTGAGGCTACAGACTAATTTATAAAACTACAACTTGGGGGCCTTGCTATGTGGGAGAATCCCCTCTATGGTCCGTCTACCCAAAATGGTAAACAGACAAACCACTTAATAGTGCTTTTTGTATCTCTCATAGACTCTGACAGCATGATTCTTGTACTTGAATTCCCAGCTATGCACAACTGTTGCAGCTGTTTATGAGGGGGAGGGGGAGCCATAGTTCCAGATGGATTTTTTTCTTAAATATAGAGAACAGATGAGCTGTACACCAAGTGCCCAAAAGTGGGTAGAAAAATAGTTAATAGGCAGTCCTCCCTTCTAGTAATGAGCAAAACAATTAATTCAAAACAGCTCAATGCAAAGTTACCTGGTTGGCTTTGCTATTAGATTGTGAATGAGTGAACTGATGTTCTTTGGCCTGTGGCATTTTCATAGCGCCAATAACATTTTTTTTTTTTGCCACTGTACCCAAAATGAATGCCCTGGTAGCCAACTGTTCTAGGACTGATACATAGATACAGCACACAACGATAGAGCATACATGTAAAGCCATTAATTTAGTTTGCATACAGTTGTTTCAGGCTTGCTAGTCATCACCATTACAAAGTGTAGAAACCCATTGCTTCTGTGTAATAGGTCTCCGAGAGCAACAAGACAGGACAGTAGTCAAGACCATGGTGACATGGACAAAAGGGAACCAAAGATACCTCCACTAAACCACTTTGTTATATAGTCTCAACTTCTTGAAAAAAATTACTCAATTCCAGAATAATTCATCTGGCAAAGGGTTTATTTTGTATTTAGGATTAGTGTAAAAAGCCATGCAGATAAAGTATTGTGCAATGCTATTGTACAAACATAATGTTTGAGTTCATTTACTAAAGGAATAGAGACTGTTCAATTAGATGAATGTTCCTCTTGGAAAGCGTATGTTCACTTTGGACAGTGAAGTTTAAGTAAAAGTTATTTAATGAATAAGCTAAAGCTGTGTTCACGTCAATCATAAAATCATGTGCAATAAAAACATCCTGTTTTTAAATTTCCCCAGCACATGATTAGGTATGAAAGCCCTACTTTATGCAAAATGAACCCCCATTCCTAACACCCCTTTGTCTCCACCATTTCTGTCCATCACCAGTGCCTTTCCTGAGAATGGAGATTGGGGATCTAGGGATGAACTCTGTGTGCCCCAAACATGGTTTGTGACATTATCATGCTAATGCTTTTTTTATGCATTCTCAGAGGACCCCACCATTGGAAAATCAATAAGAATAACCCATGGCGAAATTTGGACACCGAAGGACCCTTCCACTTTGTAAAATGCAAGAGAGAAAAATTGGGACTCAGCATGTCATGATCCTACAGTTTTTTTTTTTATTGCTACAGTAAGTAGCAAAAATAAGCTTTGGGTGTGAGTAATGGAGTGGTAGTTGCTGCTATACTACACAGTGCCAAATAGTGCCATATTTTGCTACAGAACTGTTAATTGAAATGTGGTGAGTTACATATTAACAACCTAAATTTCTGTTTAGCTGCTGACCCCCTCCAACCTGCAGTTTTTTTTGTTTTTGTTTTTGTTTTTTTATGGATGGAGGGGTAGTGTTGGGGTTTAATGTTTTAGATTTAGGTATAGCTACATTTTTTAAGTATATTGTAATATGATTTGTAATATGATTTTGCTAGAGTCTTTCATATTTGGGATCAGCAATGTGAGCTGCCCTTTGTTTGCAAAACATCACTGCATGCATGTATAGTATGCTTATTTAGTGCCCATAGTCACCACATTGCTAAGTGTGCCAAAGCACCACATCCGCAACCCCCCTATTGCCATAGCTTTTAATAAAGTTTATCAGTCCCCAGTATTTATAATGTCAGGCAGGCGAAAAAAGAGAAATGTAGAGATTCTGCATGCAAAGCTACTAAGAGATGAACAGGTTCTTCATCTGAAAATGAAAAAAATGTACCTAAATCATATGACTATATACCACTTTGGGTCCAGGGCTGATGTGCACACTTTTTGAAATGAGGACCCTATCAACTATTGGGCGTGCAGGCTGGGCCACTAATCTGATCCTGCATAGTACACCATACATAATATTTCATGACAAAAAAAAACGCATGATCTTTCCCTCTGAAATGACACATTACAATTTTGATTTCCTGATTAAAACCTGTCTGGTTCTGAAATTGCAGCCTAGAAAAACTCCTCACATACTGTGAAGTGAGTCTGTATAATATTTCTAGCTGTTGTCTCGGAAATAGTACGCTCAAATTTGTATTTCATGATAACACTTGCCTGGTCTCTGCCTCTCATATTGTGTCCTACTAAAGCTACTTACATACTGTGCATGGACTTTACAATGTTTCTTGCTAATGTCCGTGATTTTTTTTTTTTCAGTTCTATACTGGATACATACTTTTTATTTGATGAATTAATAAAGACAGATTTCTTCATTTATCTACTTACTTGACTAGTGGCACTCTCCCCTCTTCCTTGGGCAAGATAAGTAAAATGTGGTTGCCTCACTTCCTCCTCCCAAAAAACCCACAGGCCTCATTTCCACTAATGTCATAAAGGGATCACATGACAGTCTGAAGAGCCTGCTGTCATAGTGGCTTCTCCATGGTGATCAGAAAACAGTGTTGTGTATGCACTGTAACCCTCAGTGTTCTCGTGCACACCCTTAAGCTGCAATCCGAAGAAAAATCTGGAATGCAGTTGTTACAGGGCAACTTATCAAAAAAGCAGGACTGTCCAGGATAGGTGGTAGGTATGGTCTACTTACTCAAGATGAGAATCAACCATTGTCAATAAATAGATACAGTCATAAATGCAGCAATTGATGTTTTTTTTTTCCTATATTATTATATGTACTTGAATATAACAGTGTATAAGATATACAGTATTATTTCTGTAGTTTTTACAATCAAGATAATGTTCCAAAGAATATCTCTCTCTTAATTAGGTAGCACAATATCTCTACTATCATCTATCCAGGAGTATAGACAGTATATAAGATATATTATTCTTGTAGTTTGACAATCAGCATAATGTTTTAAAGAATATCTTTCTTCATTAGGTCATTAGGTAGCACAATATCTCTACTATCATCATCTATCCAGGAGTATTGACAGTGTATAAGATATACTATTCCTGTAGTATGACAATCAAAATACTGTTGTAAAGAAAGTCTCTCTCCATTATGTAGCACAATAGCTCCTCTCTCTCTTTCTCTTTTGTTCTCTTTCTTCCTCTTTCTCTCTCTCTCTAAATAACATTTTAGCATTGCCAAAGCAGTTTGTATGGAAAAAAGGTGAGGGGGGTAAGGTGTAATATAAAGGGGGATGGGGGGAAGGCTCCATGTAAAGGATTTTTAAGTTCTCAGTTTTTTACGTCCCTGTCAGTCGGTGGCATGCTGTCACATATTGTACAGCTATTTTCACCATTGGCTCCTCTTTTCCCCATAGAATGTGGAGTTTCCTCTTCTCTTCTATAGAAGTGAAGTCTGGGATGAGAGTGGAGAGTCTCTCTCTCTCTTTCTCCCCCCTCTCCTTTTATGGTAAGAGGTTCCCCCCTGTAAATACCATTATAATGACCATGATTAATC